GGGCGGGGGACGGGGTGCAGGAGCCTCACCAGTTTGCGCTGACACCAGTGGCAGAGGCCGCAGAGAAGGATAGTCACGCTAAGGCTGACGGTGATGATGGCCGAGACCAGCAGGACGTCGCGGGTGGGCGCCCCTGGGGAGGGAGGACATGCACAGGTCAGACCCTCATTGGCCAGGGCCAGCCACCCTCCCTCAGCCCAGAGCCCTCAGAACAACCACACTGCCCGCCCTTCCCGCTGACCTCCAGCCTGGGAGCTCTGAGCCCCAAGCTCTGAGCCCACAGCTCTGTCCGAGAGCCCACCCTGGAGGGCCCCCCTCTCCCTCATCTGTAAAAGGAGGCAACTGTGCCGGCTGACACCTCTACTGCTCTCTCCCTGCCCGGGCCTGTGTGAGCCCACAGGCTCCGTACCATCCCCCAAACTTGACACCCTCCAAGGGAGAAGCCAGCGTGCCCCTAGCCCCCCCAGCTCCCCCAGCCTCCACACACCACTAAGACAGCCACTGCTTCTCCAGACCCCCCTCCAGGCTCTGAGCTACACTCCAGCCAAATCCGCCCAAAGGGCCATCAGCTCCTACAATCCCTCTGAGGCATCTGCCCTGTGGGCACGGACAGACTCTTAAGTGTCTGGCCGAGGCTCAACAGCCACATGTAGAGTCCAGAACGAGATCTCTGGAACCCTCTGACCAGCCCTGGCCCGCTTAGCCCAGCTTTGCTTGGGCGGGAAGCCCACCCAACGGGGTCTGCACACCCACCCTCCCCTCCCCGAGTCGCTGGGCCCGTGATGGACAATCTCCCGAGCCTCGCCGTGGCTTCCATTCCAAGAGCTCAGAGGTCCTTTGTGCCACGCCAGCACGGCCACGGGTGAACCTGGGGGGTGGGGGTGGGGGGCGCGTGAAGGATTAGGAAAGACAGACGAGAGAATAAAGCTGGGGCTGGGTGGGACGCTGTCCTCTGACTAGAGAGTTCCACAGCCTGCAAACCGAGTCTTCATTTTATAGCAGATTCCACGAGGCACAGTAAGGGCGTGGCCAAGATGGTTACAACGTTCTGGGGGGGGGGGTTCGAATCCACTCAATCACATGCACCTGATCGAGCTTTGTTTCCTCG